TTAACTTGTAATAAACATGTGGTGGTTTCTGTTTAATTTTTTCCAGAATTCCAGGTAAACTGAAGCAATTTGTACTAGACTTGCATTCTGGAAAACTGCATAGAGAGTTTCATCATGGCCCGGATCCAACTGATGTAGCACCTGGTCAGGTAAGGTTACAACAAATACATTTAATTTGGCCATAGTAAGGACCTTTTTTACTCCTCGTCAGAGCTGTACTTTCTAATATGTTTATACTTTTAGCCTCTGTCTCCTGAAAGAGAAATCTGTTTACAGAAGTGTAACATTGCCGATTCTGCTTGGCAGTTCAACTTCCTTTGGGTAAAGGCAAGGAGAGCATTAGGGGTCGTATGGAACCTGTTTGCCTTGAATAAGGGAAAATTATAAGAAAATATATTTTCTCCACTGAAACAGATCTTGGGGTAGATGACTCTTCTGACCTCATAGTGCTGCTCTTATGTGACTTACGTGATTCTCATGTGACTTCAGTGCAAAAGTCGATACTACATCATAGCTGCATTATTTCCCACACAACTCACTCTTACAGGGTGCTTCTGAGGGGAAAGAGCAATTAGTTGAATTTTTATGTTTTATGTAGAAAGTTGCCAATCCAAGCAGGAGGCAGATTCTTAGAGCATCAAGAAAAGATGGATAAGCAGTAATAGGCCTTATTGCTTTTATTAATGCAGTTAACAAATGGCATCAGTAGTATTCACAGGCTGCACTTGTCAGTTTGGATTCCTCATAGTTCTGTTCCAGGGTTGTCATGTTGTGTAATTACATGCCTGGAAGTCACTCCTGGGATCTCTTCAGGAACACAACTACTAGATCCTTCTCCAGACAAAACTCGGGAGCACCTCAGTCTCAGGAAAGAAAAGACATTACCAGCCCTGATTCCCTCCACTTAGCCCAGTCTTTTGTGTCTTAATCAGCCTTGTATCTTCTTGATACACCACTCAACTCACGTGCTTGGTGTCATGCTGAAAAATACAAATGTAACGGCCTGTCAGGGAACACTTTCATTACCTTGGGCACTGTCTAAAGAAATAACCATTTAAAACACTTCTTTCAAGTTATACGTTGCATTGTCTGGGCTCGAGGAACCACTTTGGTCCCAGAGGAGACCTGGAGCCCTTGTGTTGGGGTGCCTTAGGCCACCTGAGAACCCATGGTGAGAAACTATTTATAGCTACGGTCATTTTGCTGTTTATCTCTGGGATGTGGTAAGGGTGGCACTGCACTGAGCCTTCTGAGTGCAGACTCCCATTGCCCTGCTTAAAGCTAAAAGATTGAAAAGCAAGAAAGCCCTAGAGGGCTTGCCTTGGCCAGGAAAATGACTGCTTCTGAATGTCGTCATGACTGGCCAAGAAAACACGTGGGCTGAACTGTCTCAGCAGTAATTCATTTAACCAGTAGATCCCTGTGTTTCTTCAGAATTCAATGAGCAACCAGAATTCAAGTCAACAGGAGGAGGTGCAGAAATAAGGGCTGGAGACTGAGACAGAGGCCAGGCAGTCTGTCAGCTTGGAGGGGGACAGGAGTGCTTGAGGAAGAGATGCTCTGAGGCACCTGCTGTGAAGAGGAGGCTTGGCCAGGGAGAGAGGAATCTGCTGAGTCCCTGGATCCTGCTGCCTGCATATCTGGGCACAGGCATGGAGCCTAGAGCTGCAGGCTTGCTCTTGTCTCCATTCTGCCTTGAGAAATGCACACAAAACCTGGGATATTTATGTCCTCATCTTCGTATGGCATCCTGCCATCTTGTGGATGTGCGTGTGATGAAAATCTGGCCTTAACTAAACTGGAGGCTGCCTGCTTCAAGGTCACCTATGTCCCTGGAATTGCATGGAGGGGTTTGTGTTGGGGTTTTTTTGGTTTGGTCTTGGTGTGGGATTTTTTTTTTAGTTTCCATAAAAAACTAAAAATTTTGTCAGCGATGGCTCTTTTGCTCTGGTGTATTTCATAAAACACGCGCACAAATTAGAATACCCTCAGAGCAAGTGGTAGACAGACTCAAGCAAATATACAGTGGGGTACATTTTAAATACTTCTAAGTGACTTGTACAGAAGCTTGTGTGATGGCCATCACCTTTGCAATGTGCCAACAAAAGGAATATCCTTAACTGAAAGTGCTTAATTAATATGTGTGTGCATGTTTGTTCCTCCTACTTGGGGCTTATAATGTGCCTTCCAAAAAAAAAACCAAAAAACAAAACGACAAAATTTAATTTGTGGGAATGCTGGACATTCATGCACTCCCATAATTAATGCTAGAAATTCATTTTATGGAGGTGGATGGTTATCAAAATTAGTCTAACAAACAATTTTACTGTTTGTTTTGTTTTTCAGCCAATTCAGGATTTAGCAAGCAGCCCACCAGAAAGCTCATTCCAGAAACTGGCACCCAGTGAACATAGGTACACCTTATTGAGGGAAAAAGATGAACTTTAAAAACTTGAAATAATCTTGCAAGCCTTTCAGACAGCAGCGTTGACTTCTGTGTGGTGGAAATAGTAAACCTATATTTTCATAATTCTATGTGTATTTTTATTTTGAATAAACTGAAAAATAATTTTTTCTCCCCAGGCTTGTAAATACATTTGTTTGGTGGGTCATTCTGTACAGCATCTTTCAAACAGTACATTCTTAATGCTATCGTAAAATATCAGAGACCCATCCAGACTCTTGATCTAACTCTGTTCTGTAAAACTTTTATAATCCAAATGAAGGTATCCTTGCCAGAGACATGCTGTTAACTTGCACTATCCCATTAAATAGGACTTCTGGGTTGTTTTCTGTGTAACCTTGGTAGTATGTGCTTTTTCTTCTTCTTCATGTGAACAGCTATCCTGGTAATCTATTTCTTTGTCACATTTTTCTCCAACTTAAGAGGGTCTTCTATTCTGGATACTTGGGAGGGGAATAAATTAAAGTTTTACAGAATCTTGTGTGGTGATTTACTGGCTGTAAATGTCCAAGCAATTAAACAAAACTGAATTTTAAAATACCAAGTGAGGAAAGGAAAGGTTTCAATGATAGTGGCTGTACTTTGAATGAAGGGGCTGTATTGACCTACTCTGATTTCTTGGAATTAAGATTGCTGTGTTACCCACATGGTTGTGTTAAAAGAACATGAATGTTGGAAACCCTTCATAGTAAGAGAGGACTGGGGCTGGCCTGGCATCTGAGTTTTGTCAGTCCCAAATTAATATCTGTATGTATGTTAGGATTAGTCTCTGGGGGGTTTTGTTTGTTTGTTTTTCCCCCAGATCCCTGCCTTCCTGGCAGATGCTTACTGTTCAAAGAACCACTGCAAATTTTCTGTTACTCTATTTGTCTGGCTTGTGCCTTACTTATTGCATAATCTTTGAATTCTGCTCTGAAGAAGGAATGACTGCTTTTCTGTTACAAATTACACCAGCATAAGGGCTTTTCTCAATGAATCTTCAAGCTGCTGGGTGAGATGAACTCATAGAATCTGTAAGATGGAACAGCATCTGTTAATTTGTGAGGCATTGTTGGAGATAAATTTGTATAGTACACTTACTACAAAGAATCGAGGACCTGACTTGGGCCCCCAAGGTTTAGTGTCCTTAGAAGTGAGCTTGTTCTCTGGACAGGGGGAACACTGGGTTCAGGTTTACTTAGGAGAGTGCCCCAACTTGTGTAGTAACTGTTCAGGATTCCTTCTGCCTCTCAGCTACGGATGCCACCTGGTCAGTTACTGACAGAAGACTTTCATGGTCTGGTGAAACTGTGGCAAAGTTGATCCCAGGACAGCCTCCTGAATCAAGCCCCTGCGGCACCAGGAACAGGAGCTTTCTAGGGAGTGATTCTGAGGACAGAATCACTAGTACCCACCTACACTAAGCTACAGCAAACTGAGCAGCTGCAGATTTAAGAGCTGAGAAAAGTATTGCAAGGTTTTGGTTACAGGTATACTTTTTTGTTGTTTTTGTGAATCTGCATTTTTGGCCTTCTCCTTTTCTCCATCTCATGCCAAATCAAGCATTTTTGGCAGCTGGGTCATACTGCCTTCCAGTTGGAATCTAAAGATGTGAGCTAGTTGTGGTTTTAAGGCTGCCACTTGTTTTTTACAGGTCGTGCTACACAATTCTGGCACCTGAAATTTTAGTCAATTCCTGCATGGTGCCTGCAAGTACTCATCTTACTCCTCTGAGGTTCCTATTTTTCCTTGGGCTTCTTATTTATAGGTGTTGTTTGGTGGGAGATGTCAAAACTTCTCTTTCTGGAGGAAAATGCTTCCTCATAATCCACCTAGCAGTCCAGGGACAGGTACTTTTAGCTAGAAAGAGATGAACCCCCTCTGCCAACCCCTCTTCCTTAATCCAAGTTTGCTTTTCAGACTAAGGACTTGTTCCCAGAGCTTTAGCATTCCAGCAGTAGGTGGACAATTAGCTGTAACACGTAGTTTCATGACAGTTACACACTACAGTAATTTCAGTGTGTATTCACTGGAGCTGGACCTGATTCTCCTGGGTTATGGATGACTAGCAACCTGGCTGTGACGGCGTTCAAGTGACTTCTCTATTTGCAAGCAGAAGATTGAACAGCTAAAGCCAAGCTGTCCTTGCCTAACATGCTGCTGAGTGTCACTTGAGCTTTTATGTGTCTGGTGATACAGAGAATTTGCCTGGAGAGAGCAGTCGCTGCACAAAATCCGAGTTGTGTTTCAGATTGAGCTGTTTGACTCTGATCATCTGCATCTGTATTTTAACCATTTGTTGCTCAGCTTACCACTCCCTTTAACACTTCTCAAGGCTTACATGGGAAGTTGTCAAAAATATTAGTATTATCCCTATATGGAATAAAAGTATTCCAAATTCTTTTTAATTGAACTTGCCAAGTCCATTTCTAAGCTAGCATGTGTGTACGAGTTACTAGATGCAGGTGGCACTTTGGGAACTTGTATTAATTTCAGTCAATGTAAATATTTCAATAGCTGAAGCATGTGTTTGGTAACTCAATACAGGATTCTTAAATCTTGGTAGTGCAATTGTTTTAATAATATAAAATTTGGGAGGGATTCATCTTTTACACGCTGAAAGGAAATAAGCCCCAACGTTCTCAGTAAATGTTACAGCCAGTCTCATAGCAAAAAACTTTTATTTGGTCTGAAAGAGTTATTTATATCTTAAAATTTTTCTGGTTAACATGCCTAGCAATTTAAATGCTAGTTTGGTTACTCAGATGCTGATGTTTCTTCACTTATGTAAATAACACCTATTTTAAAAAATCGTAGCCTAAATAATAGACTCCCACATCTAGTGTGTACACAATGCTTTGAAATTGCTTCCTTAAAAACGCAAGGGGGAAGAATAGTTCTCCTGCTAGACATTTCATAAACTGAGTGCATATCAGGCTGAATTTGTATAAGCTGGGGTAGGAATTCAGTCTTAGGAATTTAGATTGTCCTGGCATTAATCCAGCGTGGGGGGAGAGGATGGAGTCCGCAAGATCGCTGATGTGGCTGCTGTCATTTAAATGCAGGAGGTTTCACAGCATATGATAGGAAAGCAGATACAGCAGTTTAAAATCATACAAAGAATCAACCACAGTTTTTGATTAAAAACACTTTTTTTTTCTTAATGTATTCCTTTAAATGTAGAAAATAAATATCGAAGGAATGAACAGCCTATGAAGTTGTTACACGCTCACTAACTCTGTTTACAGCCAAAGTAGATGCATTTAAAGAAAAGTGCTTTTTGCCGGTCAGGAGCAAATGAGCTGAATTACTTGGGTCATGTTTTGCACTCCAGCTGATTTTTACCGTGGCTTTAGCAAATGCAGTTTTGACAATGTCTGCAAATACTGGTGAAAACTGTTCTTGCACACATTGCTTCCCTGGGCCTCAGACCTACTTAAAACAGATGTAATGTTCTGGCTTATAGCAATTTCAGTATTTTAAAAGCAATAAGGAAGAACTGCTCAGAAGTTATTTGTGCTGTAACTAACAGTTGCTTACAATGTCTCTAGGCACAAAAACCCATCATCTGTCATTAGCAGACAGTGATTTCCAGTGATGATACCAAAGTAGTGGTTATCGACAAGGAGCTGTTTCTATAGGATGCTTCCTTGGACAGTGTTCCCTGCTAGGGAGCCTTATCTAAACACTGACTTCAGTGTGCACCTAAATAAAACTGAACTCAAGCAGAGCTCAGGATGAATTGACCAATCTAAGAACTTTAAAAAATGGCTTCCAAACCTCAATTTCTGTTCCCCGTAAACAGTAGCAGCATTAGTCTGGGAACTGTCCTGAAAGTGGCAAACAGTAGATTATGTGACAATAGTACAAGTAGGTGACAATAAAAACACGTTAACACTTCTGTATTTAACAATGGAAGCTTCAGCAGCAACAGGCTTCTTAAGGGTGGTAAGATAAGTATCCACTATAAAAAGCCAGCAGAAGCAGCATCTCACCCCATAACAGGCTCCACAGCATGTCCCAAAATCTTGAAAAGGCTCAGCAGTTACTCTACAGTGAGGGTGGAAACAGCTGTTTTGGCACCGTATGCAAGAGGTATGCAGCTGCCCCAAACACCCGTGGTTTACGTGGTAAACAGTATCGTGTTGATGTTTTCGACAGTCCCATCCTCTGGGGATGCAGCCGGCACTGCCACCGTGCAAGGGGCCTCGCTGCCTCACCGGCCGCTGACCTGGTGCCTAAGGTCACCCTTGAGGGAATAACAGACTATTGAGGGAGTAGGCCTGGCTGCAGCACTGCCTTCCAGGGAAGCTGTTCAGCTCTCCCACCAGAGTGCTGTTGGTGCCAGGAGACGAGAAGCAAGGGCAACATCTTGCTGCTTAAGCAAGGTGAGGCTTTAAGTTCAGAATGCCAGAGCTTGGCTCTTCACCCTGTATGGTGTTCTCAGGACAAGCCAAGGAGCTGAACAACTATGGAAAATTATTATCCTCCAGTAGCAGTCCTGCAGGGTTGCTGCTTAGACTGTTTAATTCATAACTACACTTTGAGGAAGGTGAGGAGTTCACAAATTTAAAAAAAAAAGGTACCTGAAGAAGAGGAAAAGCTGGTTCTGATGCTGATCTGATATGGCTGATGGAGGCAGATGTGATATATGTGATACATGATATACATGACTTTTTTCCACATTGCTCACCCAAGATTTTCACCTTCTCTTATGACAGCTGCCACTTCCCTGTGCATTACTAAACACACACAGTCGGTCATATCCTAGGGATGTACACAGGAAGAGTTTGGGAATCCAGATAAGTGAAAGTAAATTTAAAATAACCATGAAAGACTGATGGCATTTATTTCCTTTCTTTTGGAGCACTACCATAAAAGCTCCAGCTTCTCATGGCATTCATGGGAAAGCACTAGGGTTTTCCAAGTATCTCTCTTTATACTGTCTGCAAGACGGTTTGTGCAAATTTGGCATGAAGCACCAGTCACCCATCATTGCAGCTGTGCATATAGCTCACTTAAGAATTTTATAATTAAAAGTTATCCATATAATTTTCAAAGGACTGATGTCACCATGTCTGAAAAGAGAAATTCTGACATGACTGTTTCAGCCCTCCCAAGGAACAGTAATGTCATCAAAATTCACACAACTCAGCCTTGTTTTTAAAGCATAAGGCTGCAAGTCTGTCATTAGCACGGCTACTACGCTTCTTCCTGGCCATAATGAATTGATACTTCAGCTGGATTTTTTGGCACTTTGGTGAGAAAGCTCTGGACAGCTGGAAGAGACCTGCTCAATCATTTTTTGTTTTTTTCTTTGTATCAATTTTCCACCTGTGAAGCCCAAAATCCCACCGCCAAGTGCAGCTGCAATTCCTGCCACTTTGAAGCCTGCAAGGAGACCAATGGGACCCCCCACTACTCCACCAATGACTGCACCTGCCACAGGCAGAGCTGCCAGCTTGTATTTTGCAGCCTGTAAAGGAAAAAAAAATATAGTTAGAATACTTGCCTGTGGCGATGTGCATTTTTCCCCTCACTGCTCTTGGCAATAACTTGAATGCTCAGTGATAAATAAACTTTACAAATTAGTATTTAAAAAAAGATGCTCGCCTATGCCACATGTATGACAGAATGTACTAAAACAATTAAAAATTGAGCTGTCTTGTGTATGCAATTGTGAACCAGGTCCTTTCACATGGTTCTGGCTGATTATGTACACTGGGTATTACCTAGTCACCATCATTAAATCAAACAAGAAACTGTGAAAATGCTCAGACTTTTCGTAAGGTCTGACTCAAGGCTTGGGGCTTATTTAGCAACTGACATCTACATGGAATGGTACGGAAATTACATGTTGTTGCCAACCTCTTGTTTTATGTTTATGTGATTCTTGCGAGCCAGTCACCGAATGCGCTTGTCTTTGCAAGTAAACCAAAGTAGCCTCAAAATAGCACTAAAAAAAGCCCCCCCAAAATTAAATAATTGTATTTCCTTGTAGCCTGGATATGATAGAAAATTACAAGAGAGATCAATTTTTTTTTTCCTCTGCTACCTGTGGGTCATTTCTTCCTTATTTCCTTAATTGCTGGTTCCCTTAGCATTAAAGACGGCAGATCAATTGGGTTAATACAGAGGGTTGCTGGGAGGCAGAGTACCATTGATTCACCAGCAGGAGCAGATCCCTACCTTCCCCAAGTTTTTGGTTCCCTCTTCAACATTCGCAGCAGCACTGTTGACATGGTCTTCAATCCTGTCAATCTTCTCCTGCTGAGACTAGATGCAAAGGAATTATGAGTGAGGTAACCTGCTGGGAAGCAGCAGTGAGCCAATACACACCATTTTAATGCCTGTAATCAGGACCCCACAGCCGCTTTCATCTGCTGCACACTGCACCCAGCAGCCTTAATGGTGCTTCACGATTAGCATCCGATAACCTCTGCTGAAACTACACACTTACTTTACAAAAATGTAAACTATTAAGTAATAATATGGTGGGGGTATTAGACAATGTCTTGCTGCACTTAGAGAAAACAACCCAAAACATATGATTTCTAAATCTTTTCTGTAAATAGATAAATTTGCATTCCGAAGGGAAGAATAATCCAAACTAGCCTTTTTGTTTCCTGCTGAGTTTCATGCTAAAAAAAATATTCTATAAAGAGCATTTATAAGATCAGTACCAACTCCAACATACAAAGCTGCATCACGAAATCTAAGCAGAAGTGTTTAATTATGACATTATAAAACTGACTTAATTTTACAAATAGTGACAGTACTGAAAATATACTTGATGTTGCTCTGTATTTACTGTTTGATTTTACAAAACCACTCCATCCTTTCTCCAAATGCAGATTGCCCTGCAGTGTCTCTCAGGGAACACTGGAGCAGAAGATAAAGGGATCTGTGGGTTTGTTTGTTCTTATTTTAATCTCAGCAGTACCCAGCCTGTTTTATGTCACAAAATAATGAGATGGCTGATCTTCAGCTTAAAATAAAAGGCATTCTGTTTTGCCTCTTTCTAATTCAGAAACTGCTGAGTCCACCAGCTCTCGTATCTTCATTTACTATGCAGTCCACACACTTTAGATACTTGGTATTATATCTAATGACAGTTACGTGTAAAATCCAGGAAGTCCTGGGAGCAGGACCTGTTGCTTTAACCTTTAGGACACTGATTGAAAATTTTTGCAGTCCCACTCCAGCCTAATGGTTCTTAGTTGGTTTTTTTGTATAGGTGATGCAGCACATACTCAGCAGAAAGGATAAAAGCTAGCTTATTTATTCCTATTAACCCAACAGCAAGGAGATTAAAGAACTCTCCTAGGAGATGAGAATTGTGCATTTAAATTCCCTGTGGCACAGGAAGAACTAAACATTGGGAACTGAGTGTGGATGATGAAGACATTTTAGCAGTATTGTGAGAGCAGAGAAAGAGCACGATAAAGGTGAGGGATTTTTGTAGTACTCCTGATTAAGTGAGAAAAAGTACCTGAGAAACACCCACCCTGTGCAGCGAAAGCTGTTGCCACCATTACAGTTAGAAATTGTACAAATTAATGGGTAGAAATCTGCAGACAACACTAGAGCTTCTACTGAGGTTCAGCTTGTGGCCACGTGCACTGCCTAGGACATTGTAGTTGTTCTGGTCACAAAACTTAGGAGCAACTACCAGCGCTAGTGCTGAAGCAGCAGACTACTGCCTCCTCAGAAAGTTACCTTGGCAGAGCCTGAATCCACAGGAGAGCCACAAAGACACCTGTAGCAATGAGTCACTGATGTAGGGAAGGAAGAGCTGTTAGTTTTCTAACCAGACAGAGCAGCAAAGTAGTTAAACTAATGCTTTTGGACATTCTTCTTGTAAATGTTACATGCATCACTTACTACTTTGGAAAGTGTCTAATGTCCCATCTTGGAAACTATAGTTGTATTTACCATAGGTCCCAAGTAGCAAAGACAGCACCTTTGTGCAGGCATCTCAGCTCACTGTGGGGAAACTGCTCTGCCTCTACTGGCATCTTGAAGTTCCTAACAGTGATCAGGATTTTGTAGTCTTGAATATTGGACTGAATAAATGTTATTATTTTCTTAATATTATTTTGCTGTTCTGTCACTTTGATAAAGTGATACTAGCTCAGTCTGAGCAGTCCAGGGGCAGAAGTATTGCTCGTCTTTTTTTTGTCCCCACCTAGGAGTTACCCATTCACCCTCTTTTTGCACAAGACTGCATAGGATAGAACACAGAATTAATACTTACGCTGACTAAGAGAGAAAAATCAGTCACCAACTGGCTGAGCTCAATCAAGTCCTACAAATGAAAAGCAAATGTTATTTTGTAATAGTTGCTAAAAACAAGAGGACCAATGTGCAGTAAGGGAGTTCCAACATACCCCTTCTAAACTTTCCCAGGATTCGGCTGCATTTTCTTCTTGAGGTATTTCCGGAAGGCGGGAGTAGATCTGGATTAAACTTTGGGAGCCGTCCTTCACTTCCATGTTATATAAAGTTTCTGAATCAGAAACAGGATGTTTACATAAATGCACTGAATCAGAATGCAGGTGATGTGCAAACCTTCTCACTCTTAAAGTTTCTCAAGAGTAAGCTGATACTTTACCTAATTCAAGCCAAGCAACAGCCCTGAAAATGATCATATAGGGGGAAGTCTTACAGCACTAGACAGTTTCTTAAAAGGATGTTATTGACAAAGAAATAGATTCATTTCCATTAGCACACTTTCACAACCAGTTCTGAGAATGATATTAAATTATACTCCTGAATTCAAGATCATTTAATTAATTTTGTATCGACCAGGCTAAGAAAACTGAGCCTGGGACAAAAACTTTTCGTTTACATGACACATAAAAGCACTGCACTTCCAAAACTGAGCAGACAGTTATTCACTTTACAATAGATTATCATGCCACTGGTTTGATTTTCAGCCATTTGGGACTAAAAGAATCTGGAGGAAAAGACTTCCAAAGTAAAAGCAGTGAAAACCAAGTAACACGGTGCCCAGCATTCAGTGCCTGATCTTGTTGGGTAATGGAACTGTGAGGATGAGAAACATTTTCAGCTCAGAGCTGTACAGGAGATATTCTCAGGTAATTCTTACTTTCTAAATCATACGGACTGAATGCAGAAGACATTAGGACAAAGTACAGTGGAAAAAATGGGGAATGAAAGACAGTGAGGGGGCACAGGGGAGAGCAGACGCAATGAACAGACACACACGTACCTCCTCCACTCTTGAGCCATTACAGATGTAACAGACGTGTGTATAATTGTGGACAAGTAATTAAGTGGTAATAAAGAACAATAACAAACAAGTGTGGCTTTTTGTAGCAAGGATTAAGGAAGAGAGCTTGAGAGTCTGAAAGGCAGACTGGAGAACGTATGTAAACACAGTGCAAAGATCGTGTTAATTCAGACAACTTCAATTTCTGAAGGGAGATCGCTACTTTAGTAGGACACGTGTTTCCTTCCTTGGAAAGGTGGTCTCAAGAGAAAGCTTATTATGGGGAAGGCTGGTTAGATGTGTCACAATATTAAAATGTAAATATTGTATTAAAATCTATAGAATCAATGAATGTGCCAAGGTATGATAATAATATTACAGAACTGTTACAACAACAGATATGGACAACGGAAAACAAAAAATATATTCATTAAAAAGTCAGTAACAGTGCATGCTTATTCATGAATTATTCGAAGATAAAATAAAAATTATACATTTTCATAACATTTGTCCATTTCTCAACATTTTTATCTCAAAACACATTAGGAACCTAATCTTCCTCTCAGATCAATAAAGTCTAACATCAATGAAGTTGACATTCAGTTGATAATTACTAAGTAAGCAGAGTAACAACCACGTAATAAGCAGTTTGGGGTTTTAATTTGGGCTTGGTTTTCTTTCTAATTATTTCTACTCCTTTTCCTTCAAGAATCCAGACATGGAAGGCACTTCACATTCTACAATCATCACCTGTTCTTCCAGAACATATTTTTGATTTATAACCTCAGATTAATTAATGTTTTATACTCAGTTCTAAAATACTGTTTCCCCCTTTTCAGTATAATTAATCATGTATCCAAACGTGTGCATTTTTGAGAAAACAGTTCTGTTACATACTCTGACATTTATCATTGGTTTTGAGTATTTTATTCCATTTCAATCCTCCACAATCCTACTTCAAAATCAAGTTTCTTCTCCCAAGAAAAGTGTACTCTTCCGTAATCAGCCACATGCATGCTTAGTTGGTTGAAATTAAAATATTCATAATTCAAAAGTAAAATAAAAAGCTCACTAAACAAAACTGCCTCCTCACAAGACTGCTCTGGTCTGTCCCTAACAATCTATGCTGACCTATTGTAGAAAAGCACATTCTTGGAAGTGTATAAATGATACCAAAGTTTTGCATTACACTCATTCAAGAGAAATTAAAACTGTAAGTAGGTTTACATGTTATCATTTTCTAATAACTAAAATTAGTGGGAAAAAAATCCTCAAGAAAATTCTTAACTCACTTCAGAAAACTAAGGTAAAGAACAAGAAGGGTAAGAGGTGGTCACATTTGGACTGAAAGTATGAGTAAGAAATTTATATTCACTAGTTCACTTTTTATCAAATCTAACCAATATTAATAGAACTGAGAATGGAAGTGGCTCCACAAGTTCACTTACAGCATCTCCACAGAAATGCAATAATACAAAACACCTTTGCAGATTTCACAGAATGGCTTTGCACCTCATTACACTTGAGATAAAAATCTAATGCTCTGGAAGATTCAATATGTTGCTTAGAAGATTTTAGTAATTTTAAGAGTGGAGTGTCACCTTTTGTTAATATTTGTTTAATATGCAATTAAATTCCATTTCTATTGGCCCTCAGCTGAGAGTAGTGAATGGGGGAAGGGACTGTATCGTATCACTGACATGTCTTCTAAATGGGAGATTTGAATTTGTAAACTCCTTCCTTCTCTACCAGATGGGAAGCAACATGCTACAAAGAATGGGTGTACTGAAGCTCCTTTGATTAAGATCAACAGCCAAGATTTGCTTTCAGGACTGCAGCCTCTAAGCACAAAAGAATAGGCAATATATTGTGTCTGTGTTAGCAATTCAACAGAGCTGCTTTCACAGGCAGGCAAACTTGAAAAAATATCTGTTTAATTGTATTTAGTTGTCTGCCTGTCTGTTTCACTTTAAATGGGGTGAATTTTTCCATATTCATTTCTGTTCCCATCCCAATCTTTCTGATCAATGTCTTGTCTTTCTGAAGTGCTGTTACTCTCAATGTCCTCCATACTTCAAAGGTATTTCAGATTTCAAAAGCAGTCCTGTTCTTTGAAATTAAACTCTGGTTCCCATTTGCCACCTGTGTAACTGTTAGAAAAGCAATGTAAGCCAGGACAAGGCCTTTCCAATTAAATACCAGAATGTACTGAGAACAACTGCAGAAAGTTACCAAAAGAAGAGGTATCTTAAATTTACTTCGGATCGTAACAGAGAAGAGATCACAAATAGACTGAAAGTAATGGCTAATATGCATGAAAGGAATCACTGAATACTGAAGACAAAGTGCTCCCCCCAAAAGAGATGTCAACAAATTAAGCAAAATTATTAAGAGAAACTATGTGGAAGAAGTTCCTAAAGGATAAAGGACTGCAGAATTGCTGGGAGACACTGACAAAATAGGCTACACTGAGGATGACACCGAATTGTCCTGATGCAGAAGAAGATGTTAATGGCTTCACCAAGAGCTCTTCAGTGCCCTGGATGTCAAGAATTTGACACACAGTATTAGTACAAGGAATAATATAAGCACAGAAAGTTAATATCAGAAAAACTAGGACATAAATAAATTTCAACTACCAAGGGACATAAATGATACGAAGGAAGTTTCTATGAATGCTTTTGAAGTTAGAGTAAGAAAAATGAAGTGTAAGTGCATTGCCAGGCAAAGAAAGAAAACTACAGATGACCCAAAGAAAGATTCAGCCAGTCTTTACACAAACAGGTTGATATCATCAGGTATTGGATGCAATTAATTTAAAAAGGAAAGAAAAAAAGCGATAGGCTGAAACATAATGAGAACAGGTTAAAAATATTTAGATGAGCTAGGCCTATTTAGGGCCTGAAAGTTTGCTGAAATTCACTCTAGAACATTTAAGAAAGTGCCTCTGAAAGTTCAAGCATATTTTTGAGAACTTGAATAAGATGGTCCAAGAGGGCTGCAAGAGAAGCGATTCAGTTATCTGAATCAGCAGAATGCAGCAAATAGTCAGACTTTGAAATCCACAAAGACACTAGGAAAAACTACTGAACAACCAACTACAACATGCTGAAGGTGTTGAAGAGGTCAAGATTCGTATGTTAGAAGCCTAAGAGTCTTTTTTGATGGCCTTGTAAGAAGATAGAATGTTTACAATGAGGGTGATGAGGCACTGGCTGCCCAGATAAGCTGTGGATGCCCCATCCCTGGAAATGGTCAAGGCCACACTGGATGGAACTCTGAACAACTTGTTCTGGTGGAAGGTGTCTCTGTCCATGGCAGGGGGTTTGGAACTAGACAATCTTTAAAGTGCCCTTCTAACCCAAACCATTCTATGATTCTCTATTTGATATATATTGACGTTCCCAAGGTTTTTTGATACTACTGCACATGACATTCCTGAAATCAAGCCCAGTCTTCAAATCCTCTTTTCTCCCTGCTCAACCATGAGACTTGCTAGCTTGTTAATCACGCTTGAAAGAGTTCTTACAGTTCTGTATGCAGCAACACGAAGGGTCACAAAATCAAATCTGATGGCAGTTTCTCCTACAATGCCATTGACTGAGAATGCTCTTTCGATTTTAAGACACATGCAATGTTCAAACAATTCTGAACAGTATTGCTACGAGAACAATTAAATTAATTACTGGTATGTGGAAGGATTTAATCCTGATCTAACCAACTTTCTCACAGATCATTAGGAGAGAACACTGGCCAGTACCAGAGCAAAATAAAGGCTTCTCCTGAAGATAGAGTGCTAGAACAAGGAAAGAAAGACATTTCATACAGGAAGGTGGGAAGAACAGCAAACATATCTGACTTGTAGCATGTTATAGTGTGTTTTCAAAATCTTTTATTTGAATGGATTTATACTCTTCTTTCTTTTTAGTTACCAAGTTAAAATGCTACAGGAAGAGAGGTTCTCCTTACCTAGAGACTTGCTCCTCTTTTTCATATATTTCAGCAGTGATGTATTGTACTGCCTGTCACTTAAAAATCATTTTCTTCGTGATGTTTCTTCAAGCACTAATTCAACGAAAATGGCCTAAATGATTACTTGCACATGATGAAATTATTTGCACCAGGGGAAAAAAGAAGTCAAGCTACCATGAAATATGAATGTAAGTATTCTGCTTCCTATGAACAGTCCTCTATTTCAAGATCCAAGGCTACAGTATCTTTCTCATGGAAGGCCACAACTATTTAATTTGTTAAGATACTGTAGCATTTTCCACTTATCAAAAATCAGTCACAGGTCATGACAAAAGTGTGATTTATGGAAAGAACTCTACTTCTTGATTAACAGCTATTATTCAACTGAAATCTCATTTGTTTACTTCATTTACATCTGGTCAGCAAAATTCTGTACTGGATACAATGATAGAGATACAATAAACACAAATTAAATTCTACTACCTCCTCCTACAGTTGCAGATCTGGTTAAAGAGGCATCCTCCTGTCCTTCAAGTTGCCTTCTAAGTTCTTCTGCAGATTCAGAATGCAGCTGCAGGAAGTCTTTAATGGCAAATGAAGCTTCCTCTTTAACAGGATTTATCATTCTCTGCAGAGCTGGGATGTCTTCCTGTCGGACTCGCAAACAGAGTTTCTCCATCTCTCTTATATTGGCACGGAGTTGCTGCAAACAGTATTAAGAGTTATTCTGTAGCCAACAGAATATTTTGTGTACCAGACATCTTCAGTGCTTAGGAAGTAACTATCATCTTCAGGATATTTAAATAATCTTCAGAAGTGCCATTTCTACACTTTAACAAAGTGAGACCAAAAATCCCTAAAAACTCTCAGATTTCAAGCAATCCTTGTGTCATCTCTCTCTCTCTCTCCTCTACATCCATCTTCTTTTCCAGACTGCATTGTGTTTCCTGACTGCAGCTGGTTCGCCTGTCAAAGATGCCTCCAGTTGCTGCAAAAGCCCACACCTAAGATAACACAGTGAATCCTCCCCTTGCACCCACCCTGGCTCTCCCAGGCTGTTATTCGTGACTCTTGAAGGAAGGCATCTGTGCTTTCAAGCACTTCTTATTTGGAGGTGCCACTGCACTATAACCAGCTCATTAAGTCTGTGTATTTTTAGTATTTGCTTCCGCTTGTGAGTTCACTCAGTTCTCCATCTATAAAAAAAAAATAAATGAGAGTTGCAGCTCCCAATACAACCATCCCTCAACAGTGCAGTGAGGCATTGCTGCAAGCTACCTGCTGAGTCTTTTTGGACACAGCCTGTTTTCCATAAGGGAAAGCAAGCCATTCACCCCAGGAAAAGAACCAAAAGATCAAGGAAGAGATGGTACCTGTTATCTAATGAACTAATTTATCCATACTATCAGCCAACCACAAAACAAGGGAGAAATATTTTTAAAGCCATCCCCATCTGTGTTTAATTTTTCTGGCTGTCACACTTTGTACTTTATCCATTCTCTAAGTCAGTTTGTTTTATTTTGAGTTTCAATTAAATAATTTAACTAATTAATTCACTGTGTAATTGCTGAAGTTATTTTTGTTTCTGTGATCAATTTAGGTCTTTGCCAAAATACTTATACAAGTTGCAACAAGTTGCAATAACATCCAAATAAAGTAAGTGATTGCTTTTCAAAATTTGCTTTTTTTTGTAATAATAAGTGACTGTGGTGATCACAGAATACAGTCACTCACAATCCCCAACTACCCCAAAACTACCACTTCCATTTGTAAAGACAACTTCAGGGACAAAGAATAAGGATTACTTTTTTAAAAAATATTTATATTTTTTCAGATAAGGGCAAATATATTTGTTTGATTGAAATATCAAATATAATAAAACATAGAAATATTTCTTTAGTTACAAGAGTTTTGAGAAGATATAAACTATTTATAAGTAAGAAGAAGAGAGTGTGTGCAGGCATCTACCATGACATAAATTTCTGTCTACAGCAAAAGTAGAGGGATTTTTTATTGCCTGGTCTTTTAAAATCTAAAAATGCACACAAGTTTCTCTTCCAACAAATGAAAAGAAGAAATTTATAGTTTAAATTATACCACTTATTGTTTTAGGACAGAGGTTTTATCTAATTATAAAAAAATAAGACTGTACTAAAAATAATATTAATTGCATTGCATTACAAAGTGATACAATAAACTATATTCTTTATCACATTATTTAGCAATTGTTTTGAATATTCTTCTCAAAACAGAACAAGAGAATAGAGTAACACCAGTGAGTGGTTAGAAACAGAAAGATTTTCTTCTGTAATACAAATCAGGTACAGGTAATGCCTTAGAAAGGCAATATTGCTCACCTGAAAAAGCGGAACTAGATGGAATTCATTTTATTTATACACACAGTATTTATACACACGGTAGAATTAATTGGTTTTAACATTTATGAAAAAAATGTAAAAAATATAGTTCGAGAAGGAAATTAATTCAACAACATGTTGAAGTAACATTGCACAGGTGATACTGGACATCCAAAGAAAGAACTATTGATTCATAAAAATTGTGTTAAATTACTAAAATTATATTGCATTATATGGTATGCTTAAATTAAAAGTACTACTAGCCAAATTAGGCTGCATTATTTAAGACTAACCTCAGGTAAAAACACTGATTGACAATTAAAAAAAGGGAGACACAAAAAAATAACTTTGCAAGATAGTGAGTTAAATTAGAAACATGGTAGCCAGTAACCTTCCTCCTACATTTCTCATCTTAATCTACCTTACTCTTCCTGTTATCTTCCCCCCATGGTCTGCCCCTAAGTATGAAAAAAAGAGAATATCATCACTGTCATAGTGCACCATGTGCCAAAATACTTTAACCTTGGAATTTCATTCAAGAAACAAAATGGGACTATCTAGACACAATACTTAATTATGTATTTTGTGAGAACTATATGCAGGGGACTGAGGTTGATCCTGCTGTTTTGCTTCAGGAAACAAACTCATTTTTATTATTCTGTATTTAGTCATAATGGAGACCAAAAAAAAAAAAAAAAAAAAGACGTCAAACAAATACTTGTGAAGCAGTGACAAGAGTGAGTTTTGGATGAGCTAATAATGCTGCCACACCAGCTTCTTTTAAAGAAAAAGGAAAATTTCACAGTTGGAATCAAGTCAAAACGTAGCTCTGCAGGGGACCTGTGCCTCTGCAGCTGCAGCCAGGGCAAATTACCACTACAGCCAACACACAAGTACTGTGCAGTGACCAACACACCACCAACTTGCTGGTGGGACTTTTCACAAATCCTGATCAGAAGCTTCAAGTGATATGAACTCTCACCCTAAGGAATGGCTAAATCAGATCCTCCCTTCCACTGTTCTTTACTACTTGCTGATCAAAGAGAAATACTTGTGAGAAAGAAGGTGGACAAATCAGATTATGATATTCATCTATTTGGTGAAATTTAATTTTAGTAGCTCTTCCTTTGTGGTTTTGGAGAGAGGACTCTTGTCCCATTTATTGTCAACTAAACAGAAGCCAAATGGATTCAGCTCAGCAAGAAAGCTCAGCCCCACTGAGAAGACACACATCCTAGGAGCTCACCAAGGTGTAACATTAAAAATGTTACAGATATGCAAATGACTATGACTTCTTTTCATAATAATTTTAATGGGACAGAGTTTAAGTTTTGGGTAGAGCATAAAGTATATCACTCTTGTCCCAAATGTTTCCACTTTTAAAGCGAAGCTTACTTAGCAAGGAAGGTAATACAAAAATTCTCTTTCCATGTACGTGAACTCCTGAGTTTCGAACTTGCCAAATTCAACCCAAAAGACACAGATTTTTTTTTATAATACTTGCAATTTTGGACTATTAACTTCCAAAGCCAAACAACAATCTTTGTTTCAAATAGTTTTCTCAAAAAAGCTATAGGAAAATAAAACTGGAGAAAACCTTGTGAAGTCATCCTTTCAGCCCATGATCTGCTGTCCCTATATTATTTCTGTTAGTTGTTTTTCTAATCTGGTCTTAAAAGGACTTCTTTATGAAGAGCTACAACCTCCTCAATACTATACTGCAAGAATTCATTATCTTACTTGCCATAGCATTTTCCTCACATCTAACAGAAATCCCTCTTGCCTCAGTTTAAACCAGGTATTTCTAATCCTCCCTGTTCAAAACAGGGGAAGACAAGTCCTGTCCTGTTTGCAACCATCTTTTCTGTGTTTGCAAACACACAGCACAACACTGTCAGGTGCTCTTTGGGCAAAATAAGTAATTTGTCTTGTTTTCTCAATTTCTGACTATATTCATTGCTCTCTCTAATCACTTTGCACCCTTCTTAAAAGCGTGGTGCCCAAACTAAGTCAGACCCCTGAGTGTTCTACCTGGGATCCTTCTACTCCTGATCAAAGAGACTGTATGAGAGATCACTCACTACTCTCCTATTTATACATCCCACTACTTTATTTGGGGTTTTGTATCACTACCACACAATCAGTTCACTTCTACTCTGTGTCCCTCAGGTCTTATAAAATTCTTGGCCTAGGTCAAAGGAACTTAAGAATAAGGTCAAAGGAATTTAAGAATATATTGACCCTGCAGATGGCCACAGGCTGCAACAGGGAGCTAATCTTACATGATCCCTCACTGACACCATAAACCATCTCCTGCAGAAATAAACTTTTTTACACTGCTTCTCATGCCCTCCCAGCGTCTCTACGTAGTATGCCAGAAGGGTACCTATAATTTGAAGACTGCATCATTTTAAAGATGGTACAGAAGACCTGAGACATAAAACTGAGCTTTGAAGATTCATGCAAAAGAGAGCTGACAGGAAGCCATCTTTCACTTGTAAACCATTTTCAGTTGAAATAAAAGTCATAAAAGCGAAAAACAAAAAAAGAAATAGATTAACATTTTCAAGCAGCTTTCTGGGTCAGAGCAACACAGTGGAAAGACTACGTCTGCCTAGGTATGTTTTGCAGATCTGAATCTCCTTTTGTGGCATGGCTATAGGCTAAAACCAGACTGTTCATCCACAGTATTTTTCTTCTTTTTTTTTTTTGTTCAGTGTTCTACATCCTCTCTAATAACTGCAGCATTTTCCTTCCTCTCACTATGAAAATGATCAAGGCAGTCCTTACGTTTTGCAATAAAATACCACCATTTCATTGAAACTACTTAAACCTTGCAATAATTAGTTAATTGGATGCTACAGCCAGCACGTACGTGGGCAAAGCCTAGCAAAACTACATATTGATTCACACCCCAACATTTTACAAAGTCCACGGACTGTCCCTAAAAATGAAAATATACATGAATATATACATTTGTGAAAATTAATATATGATACACAAGAACTATTTCCTCAGTATTTTTGAAAGGGTGTCATCGTGCCCTATGCATAGATTTCTCTGTTTTCTTCACTTTCTTTTATTGAAGTTCTTAATGTGGCATCCAGCCACCAGAAAGAAGAGGTATAGATTTATGCCTCATCTATACTTCTATTGTAATTTTGACCATCATCAAAAGTACAACAGAAGTAATTATTCTGGGTAAACTGAAAATTCAGAAAAATGGCTAATTATGTGCACATGGATTAAATGTAGAATGGCTGTGCATATATTTGTCTAAAACCTGTGGCGGATGCCTTGGGTCAATATTGACTTAGGGATTCCTAATGTATTTTTACAACATCTAATTCTGAGAGTAAAGTGTGTGCTGCAGAGAACATTTGGTATCACAATAATTAATCTGATTTCTTTGCAAACAAACAGATCACAAGTCCATTGGTAAACATTTAAACAGCTTACAGCAAACACATTCTACATGTCATATAATTTATTATCAAGTACTCCAAACTCCTAAATATTTAATTAAAACAAAGAGCTAGTCTACTCTTCTTGCATGGACCCAGATTCTTACTCTGTTCTCTGGGTATCAGAATGTGAACTACTTTAATGTATAACTTGTATCTAGATCTAAAGGCAATAAGCATTAAATAAAATATAAGAAAATTTATTCTGGCTGAAAGTGAAAATGGCAAACTTTGAATTCAAGACAAATATAAATGTTTCTAGAGACAAGCAGTTTTCTTATTAACATATCTAAAAATATCATCTTCAACACCGTTATTTTTTCTCTAATTATTGATAGATTTTGTCTTGCTAAACAAATGATACTGATAACTAAAAGTTCCAAGAGAAGCCTTTCCCACATCTCAGATGTGAAAACAGATCAGACATAAGCAAACACATGCTTCCTACACCACAGCTGTTAAAACGTCACTGTTAACAGAACATCCACCTTTGGAAGACTCTTTGAATATTAAGAATAAACTTATATTCAAATTTCAAAAATATTTGGTGAAAAATCAAAATAAACATTCAAACCTGCAATTTACAGAAAAATCAAGTGGATTTCACGTGTAACTTCTTATCATCTACATTTAAAAAAAGCTTATTAACACCTCCTGTTCCTCAAAAAACACACGTAGCTCCAGCTCTGCTATCTGGTTGTTTAACCAGACAGCAATTGGTTAAATTGCTATCTACTATCTGGTTGTTTAACCAGGGTGAAGTTCTTTCTGAGGTGAATTGTTTTGGGGTTTTTTTTAGATTTTTAGTCTGGTCTAATTTTCCACCGGAGTCAGTAATGCACTGAAACAAACACAGGAATTTACAGTATTGGAATTGTGAAATGCAGTAGTTTAGGACTGTGCTACTACCTGTGCTGGCAAAGCCTGCTTTTCTAGTTGCAGTGTAGGTCACAGAAGGTTTGTTCTAGTAGCAAAGACACGTTCCTTCTCTGAACATCTATGAAACCAACACAAGATGCCTCTCCTGCTGGCCAACACACGTCTGTCCCCAAAATACTGGCAGTACAGCATGTTATAACCACTACCTGCTGTATCTGCCTCAGCAAACTCTGCCTTGCAGAGCTGGTCTTTGTGTCTTTCTGTATTGATAATCTCCTTTGGCTGTGTGCTACTTAGCAGTGTGAAGGCTGATGTTTGGCATGAGCTTCTGCATCATTTTCATCGAGACATGTATATTTCTAGAAACAGCTGTGCTGACTTATGGGTGACTATGCATGAAGTCACTGAAATGATGCCCATGATGACAAATGTGTCTGGTATTTCCTCCTTTGATGACATTATGCAGCTAACAATAGATCTGCACACCAAACTAGTAGTCCAGATGTTCTGTTTGTCCAAAATCATGCTTTAAAATTATCAGTATCCCTTATTGCAATACCTGGCTTCTAATTTAATAATGTAAGAGGACTGTTTGCAGAAGACCAGAGACTCCAAACTTCTGTTTGTTCAAGAATGCAGAAACATTTCTGATTGCGTTTGCCTCATAGGACACAATTAGGAAATTCCTACCTTTTAAATGAAGTAAAGCAAAACCTAGTACTTGTTAAATCCACCTGTCAAATACATCTCTCTCTCTAGATCCATCTCTGAGATAACTGGAACTGTAACTGTAGGTAATTTAATTCCATTTAATTCCATTAATACTACAGACATTTTAATATCCTTACCTGAACTGTTCGTCCTGCGTTGATGTGCTCTTCGTGCAACCTGTCCCAGAGCCTGCATCTCTGATACTAGAACAGAGGAAAAATACTCCATATAATTGCTATTTTTAACAACTGCTATGCCAAAAAAAAAGGCACTTTTGGTAAATAATCACTTTAATTTTCAAAAATCGACAGTAAAGAAGCTGAGTCATAAACAATTCTGCTGCAAAATCAGAGAGGTAAATAGCAATTTATCACAAATTTTGTGAAAAATTTTGTACAATGCATTTTAGTGGCAGATAACCAGGGGTTAGTGTCAGCTTTTAACAACAAAGAGATATTGCATCCTGATATTGCTGTGGGCACAAATCACTTGGTGGGCAGTAAAACAAATGGCAGAAGAAGGAAAAAGGAATGGAATAGTGGATAAGCAGTAACGGTCATATAGGACAACGAGGTATCTGGTACTATTCACAAGGAAAATGGCATTCATTACACAATGCTACTGTCTACATTTACACTTACCATTTCTATATAGTTACAAACACAGCTACAAGAACCATCAGGGCAGATTTGGCACCTGCATGATGCTGCACTATCCATACAGAACTTCCCACACGACAGAGACCAGAATAATTATTCCATTAGCAGAGAGCAAGTTTAGCAGAAGAACTGCATATTATCACATATAAACCTTTTCATCATTAAAATAAATCAATCCCTGCTATAGGCAGTTGACATTAATAATATAGAGACTTTATCCTGAAAAAGAGTAGTAAAATAACAGAAGTAGAAGCTGTGATTCCTGGAACGTGTGCTGAAACTATCAAAGAATGCATTTACAATACTAGACAGCATTAGAATATTTATTTAATTGTTTAAATAACAAGACAAAACATTTACCATGATTTGTGAGGTATTTTTAGGTAAAGTTTAATTCCTCAATTTCTTAATATGCTTTGTTACCAATAAAAAACCTTTATCTACAGTCTACATCTTTCCATAATTATTTTCATAATTTTACAGGCCATGGCAATAAGGATCACAAGTCACTCAGCTTGCTAAAATACAATGAAAAATCTAAAGTTACTACTTATTTTCAGAGAAAAAGTTCCTTCACATTAGGATTTTGTGGTGCTATGGAAGACAAAAGGTTTAGTGTTCAACTAAGTCAGATTCATGTCATTTTTCTAGGAAACTAGCAACTTCTGCATAAATTACTATGCCACTAAAATTACTGCCATTGTTCTTTAAAATAAAATGGACAAAAAACCCGGTATCAACAGTATATCTTACAATTTAGTCATCCCTGAAAGAGTACTGAAACAGGAATTTCTGAGGTTGTAACAGAAGGGGTTTAGAGAAAAATTACCCATTGAATTTCAACTGACTGTAATACATTGTCCAAATAACTAGTAATAAAAAATCCTGTTTTCCAGTTAAAAAGAACAAGAATTCCTCAGGAAACCTTTACTGGTCTTTATAATTTCTACTAGAAATGCTCAGCACATTTATCTGCTTTATATATGTAGAGGTATTACTTGTTTGTTTCAAAATTCCTAGTAGGCTAGTGATGAGCTCAAAGAATCCAATGACTTAATACTGCCAGAGCAATGACATTCACGTGGCCAGAAAATTCCTCCTTGTTGTCTTCTGTTTGTTACCCAACCCAAAATAGGCCATGTTCTCAGACAATGTTCACTCTGGAGGCCTCAAGGATAGTAAAGCTTGAGAAGAGATGGTATTGACGTTATTCATCGTGAAAGTTGGGACTGTTCAGCCTGGAGAAGTTTGCATGGAGACCTCACATTAGCCTTCAGTATCTAAAGGGGGCCTACCGGGAAGCCAGAGAGGGACTCTTCATCAGAAACTACAGTGACAGGACAAGGAGTAATGGCTACAAATTGAAAAAGGGGAAATCTAGGCTAGATATTAGGAAGCAATTCTTTACTGTGAGGGACACTGGAACAGGTTGCCCAGGGAGGTTGTGGATGACCCAACCCTGGCAGTGTTCAAAGCCAGGTTGGATAAGGCCTTGAGCCTAGTGGGAGATGTCTCTGCCCATGGCTAGGGGGTTTGGGACTAGATGATCTTTAAGGTTCATTCCAACCCCTTAACATTCTATGATTCTATCATGAACAAACACATGTAAAACTGAGAGAGGTCCATGAAGTAAAAACATCTATGAAATCCTAACCCATTACAGCAGGTCCAGAGTAGGGCCACAAAAATGGTCCAAGAGCTGGAACACCTCTCCTGTGAAGACAGGCTGAGAGAGCTGGGATTGTTCAGCCTGGAGAAGAGAGATCCTACTGCAGCCTTTCCATAAACAAAGAAGGCTTAGAAGAAAGACAGAGACTTTTTACAAAGGCCTGTAGTGACCGGATAAGGGTCAACACTTTTAAATGTGTAGAGGTTTGGATTGCACATAAAAAATTTCTCTATAATGAGAGTGGTGAGGCACTGGAACAGGCTGTCCAGAAAAGTTGTGGATGCCCCATCCCTGGAAATGTTCAAGGCCAGGCTGGATGGGGCTTTGAGCAACCGTATGTAATGGAAGGTGTGCTTGTCCGCAGCAGGAGGTTAGACTAGATGACCTTTCAAGTTCCCTTCCAACCCAAATCACTCTGTGGTTCTGTGATATTTAATCATAATTATGCTATACTCCAATAGTTTGTATTTGACATCAGAAATATAAAACATTAGGCTACTCCTAAACACTCGATCTCTTTTCCTCTTTGTCCCATTCCCTCTTGAGAGCTCTCTTTACAAAGAAACCTTCATGCTTATCCTTTAGATCCCTTCCATTTCTCCTTGAAAGTATCCAGTGGACATGGAGACAACTCAAAAGCTCCTCATAATATTTCCTGCTAAAAGCTCTTCAATAAATGTCTTACACAAATGTATACACTCATATAAAGATTGTAGTAAGACTCAGATATCTTAATTTGTCATTTTGTGTTGCCTTTACGTATCTTGCCACCACAACAATGGTCCCCAGCCAAAGGTAAAAAGTGTTTCACACAACATCCTTTAGCTTTGGCACAGTGACAGGAAATGAAATTAAAACCAAAAGTGACAGAGAAAACAGTGTCTTATAGCACTTTCTTTTTTTTTTTTTAAGATTGTTGCATATCACCAACAAAGTCTAGGGTAGTATGCCAAACAAAATCTCCACCTTCCTGTACTATTGTGACAATTGCTTTCATCTAACTTTTTCATGTAACTTTTGGATACAAATGCATTTTATTCCCTCTTGGAGGGAAAGGCCATCCAATCTATGGAATGTACTTTAGAAAACAAGAATTTTCATGGGGAAAACATGGAAGGTAAATGTACAGAGAACTGATTTCTTAAGGATGTAGGTTTTAAGTCTTCAGAAACTGTCATATGGAAAGTTGGACTCTCAAATAGTTGACAAGTAATGATGATGGATTTATGGTAGCCACTTCCTCTGAAAAGGTGTACTCAAGGTCAAATTTCATTATATATTGATTTTATAGTTTCTTCAAACAGTGATTTAGTAGATTAATTGTTTGGACTATCTCTGGAACCTAAGGTTTAAATCAATATTCATGAAATGAGGTTAGAGATATTGGCTTCATCATAAGTAAATAATGTTGCTGCTCTAAGCAATTTGACATAATTAGTGATTTTTGCTTAAAAGTAGCCTGTAAAATAAACAGGATCAGATTCTATAAAATTATCCTTTTACCCCTAGGGATGTTGGTTTACATGGCTGAAAGTTAATTTTACAAAAAGTATTTTAAAGAAAACCATTTAAGCTGCTGATGATGACAACTCACAAAAGTACTGTAACACTTTCATTATGGCTAAAATGCATGTAAAAGATATAAAATGCAAATTGTCACCAAGCATTTCAACCAAACTATTGCTAATATTCTGCTAACCTGAAAGTATCTAGTGACAGTTTTCAGGATACATTTTGCCATATTTTTCTTTTCACTTTCTCATAAATCTATCAATAAACTTCGTAATATTTATACTTCTTACAGCCAGAAAAATATTAAAAAAAAAAAATCAAAAGAGAAATTTTCAGATTTTAAGAACATTACAATGAGTGTGAACTTCTTAAAGAAACTGGCATTAAGGGACTGTTTTTATACTCAGATGTATTACATCTCATCTATATATTTGTCTTATTTTTTTTTTAATATAGAGAGGTTCCGTAATCTTCAGTATTGTTATCTAACTTCTGGAATAGTTACCAATTGTTTATTTAAAGGTTTTATTCATTGTTTGTTTCTAATAATTCTATGAATTATTCATTCAAAAATAAAATCTGCCAGGATTTATACTGTCTAGGCATGCAGAAATTTTTAACAGCATTCTGAAATCAGAAACACAAATCTGTACTAAACATTGCTACCACTTCTTGCTTCATAAAAGTGTTGTTCTAGAGGAAGTGCCATTAACATTTTAAGAACTATGTTTACAATTAAAGGATTTTTCTGATATGCAAATTTTATTATGTTGACTGAACAGATCATTCACACTGATACCATGAACACCCTAAAAATCTCATGAAATGTCCAAACTAGATACTTTTAGATTATGCCAGATTTTTACGTTCAAAGTATAAAATTCAGCTACTCAAAAAACATCTCAGTAACTCAGTGGGGTCCCTGAATGCCATTACAGGAACATTGCAGAGTATTGCCTATAATAAAACCCTGGCTAAGCAGGAGTTTCTGTGACAATGCTTTGAGCAAGGTGTTAGATCAGAACTGACCTAAAGACTCATTTTATCCCAAGTGCTAAAATGTTTTCTGTATTTTCTCCTACACACAGAAAACTATTCTTGCAACAATCTCCCCTTCTATCTCCAAAACAGGAGTGCTTGATGCAAATGAATTGCTAAGCCAATAAAGACTTCAGCTGACCAACTCATGGCTGAATTAAGTGGAATGTATTTCATCCCTTCCCTGACAGCATGGTAACACTGTCTGGCTAGATAGAGCATAATTGTCTACCACACAAGGTAATAACCGATTGTGTCTCTGTTTCTCATTGCAGCACCCAATGTCTTTTGAAGATTCTTGATAAGGTGTTTATATATCCCAGATGAGGGAGGTTTTACACATAATGACAACACTTAGCAAAGAATCTCCTCAGCTTTACAAAGTAATAATCTTCCAAAAAAAAAAAAAATCAAGCAGCACAACAGTTATGCCTATCCCCTACATCGTGTCTCCCCTGCTATGACCTTACACACATCAAAAGCTTACCTTTACCTTCAAAGTGCAGGAAAACCATTTGTGTACTGCTAATGTGCCCTGCTAGTCATTTCCCACTCTGTAATGGCAGGTCAACTCCCCTTTCCCATCAACAGACTACCTTTTTCCAGGGACCACCCATTTGCTCCTCTCAGGCAAGGCTGTAGCTTTCATGCCACCCTTTTACAGGTATTTATTAACTGCATCTCCTCATTTCTGGATGACTTCCTCAAGACTCTGAAGAATGCCAAGCTTCGCTGCTCCACACTCATTGATGCTGTTGGTGTTAACAGAAGTGCTGCCTTGAAGATACAATTTTTAATGTAATTTTAACATAAACCAACTGCAGACCAAGAACTACCTCTCTGCAACCAAGGAATCCCTCTTGTGCATTATGGCAAATATGTTTGTTTCCTGAGCAGTCATGCACTTTCTGGTTAGAGAAAGAAGGAAACAACCTAGCTATCACGAGTATCTCTATTTGAATGAAAGAGCTTTCAAGGAAAAGCTATTATTGCACCTCTGAATCCTGTCCAATTCCCTATCATTCTTCACTAGTTGCCCTCTGTGGCCACTTATGTGTACAGGTCGTGTACACAGTCAAGGCTCCTTGCTCCCCCCAGAGCTACTCCTGGACACTAAAAAACGAAGCTGTTGCAAACTGGCTGATTCCAAGGCAAAAAAAGAAAAAAGCTAAATCAGCTGGTATTTAGGTAATGTAACAGATTATACAAATACAGAATAACAAAGTGTAAACAACACACTGTGACTGAAATATAGGTCATCTCACACAGCAGTTATTGCTTCAAGCAAATATTATACTAAAGCACTTCTCCATTTGTGATTATTGCAGTTCATATCCTTATTGTATCCTTATTACACCCCTAACAGAAGAGTCAAATGATTATCTGCCATCCTTAGTCCTAGCAGCCCAGGTCTTTCTCTATCCCAGTTTTTCTCTCAGACACCATTTCTGCACATTCACCTCCCATGTGAGGTACTTCACAAGCTCCCTCCACCCAATTCTTTATCCTTTATTTACATGAACCAGGAATAATTTCCTCTCACACAAAAGTAAGGGAAAGTAAGAGAATGAGACAGTGGAAACACACTAAAATCATCTCCCTCTTTGCATTCTCAGATTCAGGAACGATCAAATTAGCAGCTCCAAGAATGAGTTCTGCTAATTTCTAAGCACAGGAACATGCCTTATTGTGGGGTAAATCTATAGCAATCTTCAGCTGGTGAGGTTCAAACAATATCTACTGAATACCTGCAAAGCACCTTTTTTTTCCAGAATCATAACTCCTGGCCAAAAACCAGATTTTTAGAGGCACAACAAAATATATGATCTGGAAAAAGACCACCCCACAAAAATATCTGAAGTGTTACAACATATGTCACTGTTCTGAAATTATCACTAAGATATCAATCACTATCACTTAAATTAAGCATTTCTTATTAAAAGAAATTATTGTCACTTGAACAACACATTATTTCCTCTGTTCTCAGAAACAAATATGGATTTATTTTCTCTCCTTCCCCAGTCCCAAGGCAGAAACCTGGCATGGAAAATTTCATCCAAAAGGTTACCCACTCGGTAAAGTTACAGTAAAGTTATGGTAAAAGTTGTGAACAAATGATAGCAGCAAAATGCAGAACAGTTTCAACACTAGATTATACACCCCCTTCAGAACATATCTTTCAGGAAATCAAAATCATGTTAACTTATTTTCTTCCAATTTCTTCATTCCTTCCCAGGGTGTTGAAAATGTAGATAGCAGTCCTACACCATACAGATTTACATGTGCACTTGACTTTATACATTGTGAATAAGCTTAGTCAAATTAACATAGTGAACGATTTTCCAGAAACCTGTGCAGAACTACAGACACTCACTGTCACTGACTTTTCTGTGGTGGTAAGTAAAACCTTTTCTAATCAAATATGTCTTGTATGGTCATTTCAAAACTTCCATAGCAGTGCTGATGTTATGCTGTGTTTCTGAATCACTCGCTCTCTTACCTTTTTGATTGTTGTCACCTGTTTTAGCAAATCTCTTACCACCTTCCTCAACAAACCAGTCTCTCTATTTCCACAGGCTATATACTAATACACAGAGTCTGGGAATCTGATCAACTTCCAAGTCTGGAATCTGATCATCTGTGCTGCTAAATTGTGAGAACTGCCCCTGGTCATGCCAAACAACTCTCTCACATGAAGAGTTCCTGAGAATGGCTAAGGAGTTACAAACAGAGAGCAGAGGCTATTCCCCATTAGCAGCGTGGATGCAGCCACCCTGTTTTGCAGAATATGAGAATTTAATAACATAGGCCATTTAATGACATAGGCCATTTCATGCCAGACAACTGTCCTGGGTATGTTTATTTAACCTGTACAGGCACTGCCACAGTGCTTGCAAGTATTTAACCTCTTAGAAGCATACTCAGTTTCACTGGCAAGTGTGAGCTAATGTCAACAAGAAGCATACAAACATGCTACAATTTTGATACAATGCTTTTTTAGTTCACTTAAATAATTCAGTCTCTCTATTTCTCTCAACTCAGTTTGAAAATATAGAGAGAAAAAGATAGATATAAACAGTAAGTTACTCAGAACAGTTGGCAGCAAACCACTGTGACTTCAAAGTAAAGTAAGAATATTAGGCTGCTATCCCCACAGTAACATTTTAACACAAAAGCAGTGTTTCTCACTCTGTAGCCTGATGTTTACTACAAATGTAAAGATCTTTGTGCACACTGAATTACCAGACAACACAGAAGTTTCATCTTTACCCGAATTTGTATTAAAGCATTTCATAATCAATTTTTCATAAAAATCTCTGTATAATCTTCCAATGTGATTGATTCTATACTGTAAAAAGAACTACATTAGTAAAAAATAAACACTAACCTTCTCAATATTTATTTGGTGTTTTCTTAACCTTTCCAAATCTGTTGGAATTGCCACTTTAATGAATTTCTGAATTGCAGGTTCAATTCGACGGAGTTTAACCTTTTCTTCATCTTCAGACATCCTAAAAGCAGCCCTCAAGTGAACACCTGTGCAATATACCTTCACCAAGGTAGAAACCCCTAAAAAACAAACAATCGCAAGCTTACAAAAATGTAGTAACCTTGAATCACTTTTTAAAAGAAAACAAAAAGAGCTAAATCAGTGGGTTCTGTATTTGCATTTAAATGTATTATTTCCACTTATTTGCAGGCTTTGGGGATCATTTTTCATAGATAAAACTAAACACTAAAAAGAAAAAAACAGCTAAATAACTAAGGCAGAGGCAAATATGCTTTGCAGCACCATAACAACGCATGAAAAGGTTTGAAAAAAACTTCCAATTAGATGCTTTGATTGATCAGAGTTCAAGTTTTGCCAATTCACATCCAGAGTCATCTTACAAATTGTAAAACATGTCCTGAAAAGACACTAATTTTGGAATTCAATTTTCTGGAAAGATTAAGAGCGTCTGAATGAAGATTTGCTGGTGACGAGGCTGGTGAAGGGACTGGAGCACAGGCCCTATGAGGAGCGGTTGAAGGAGCTGGGGTTGTTTAGCCTGGAGAAGAGGAGGCTCAGGGGAGACCTCATCACTCTCTATAATCACCTGAAAGGAGGTTGGAGCCAGGTGGGGGTTGGTCTCTTTTCCCAGGCAACCAGCAGTAGGACAAGAGGGCATGGTCTTAAGCTGTGCCAGGGGAGGTTTAGGTTAGACATTAGAAAGAAATTCTCCACAGAGAGAGTGATCAGACATTGGAATGGGCTGCCCAGGGAGGTGGTGGAGTAACTGTCCCTGGAGGTAATTAAGAAGAGGCTGGATGTGGCACTTAGTGCCGTGGTCTAGTTGACAGCATAGTGTTGGGTTGAACTCGATGATCTTGGAGGTCTTTTCCAACCCGGCTGATTCTGTGATTCTGTGAAATTGCAAATGTCCCCTACTGAAAACAACTAAGGCATCACCTAGCAAGGGGTATAAACAGCTGCAGAAATATTCACAGGACCAGTAGGTACATAAGCATCCTGAATTCTGTTCCCTGCATATGCATAAAACATAACTTTGGAGTTTCACTTCTCTAAGAGAAAGATATGTAGTACTGTATATAATAGCACTTATCTACAGAGCATACAAGTAATATAAAGGAATTTAATTATGCTGAATGCACACAAGGGGAAAGAACATTGTGAGATAACTTTTTTGTTTCAATACTGTGTAAACAGAAGTTATTTAAATGAGATTATCTTTTTGTATGTTCCTTTAAAAAAAAAACAAACACAAGAGATGTAGTTGATTTGCAGACACATATGAAAAAGTTTTGTCACAAGTAAAAAGGGACATGCTACCTTGGTTATATGAAAGCACCTGTGCTATGTCAGCAATTGCATCAGAAGGCTTTCCCTGATTTTCCTCTTTCAGTAACTAAACTAATTTAAAATAATCAACCTAGCATAATTCTTTTGGTACAGATGAGGCACAGCAGAATATAACAGGTAAAAAAAATTCCCATTTTTCACACAGTCAAATGTCTAATAATGTCTAATTTCACTGTTAATAGCATTAACAGTGAAATTAGAGATTATTTTTCTCACGTCTACCTATGGTGTGAAAATGCAGAAGGAGAGTGTTGAGATTTTTCTAAGACCTGTGATTCCTGCAGGCAGAAAGCACTTGAAGCCAAATACCAGCTGATGGCACTGGATCTTTGACTAAACCTCTCAGTGTTCAGTCCCAGCCATCACCTGTAGGCTGCAGGGAGGATACCAACAACCCTCCCCCAATTTCAAAGGAGCCAGGTGGTAAGCATAAGCATCTTCCATCAGGCCAGTAAGAGAGGGAAAACAATTCTGGTACAGGGAGGAAAACAGTTCCCACCTTTTTCAACACAGTTGCAAATGAAATAATGTGTTTTTTCAGAAGAACAGAATGCTGACACAAGGCTCTCCTGCTTTATCTATCCCACCCAACAAAGCAACTGAAAACTGTGGAAAATGCAGTGTTTACTGAGAGTAAATCAAGTTAGGTGAAGTCAATCTTTAAGGTTTCACTGACACACCTTTTCCTTTTTCAAAATCTCAGAAGGAAATTATTTCATCAAATGACTTCGCAGTCACTGCTAAATCATCCCCATTTCAAATTACAGATCCACTATCAGTCTTACAAATCCCCTCCTAACCCAAGGCATTTTATATTAACAGTCCTTTGTACAAACCTTCAAATAAACATGCAGTGAGTGGGTGACCTCACATTTTTTCAGGTTGCAAAAAGAACTTTAATCCTTTTGTGCTGATCTACTCTTTTCACCATTCTAAAAACAGTGGTTTAAATGCAAGATGATAACAAATACATTAGTTGTTCTACTATACCTTGGTCACCACAGTCCCTAGCCTTTGAAAGAGCCACTCATACATCACAATTTAACTGAATTTTGAGCCTAGAACTGATTTTTTTTTTTGTAATGAGTAAAGGATAAAAAGCATCAAACTCCAAACTGCAGTACTTCCTCTTTGAACTCACATTAATTTCCTGACAGTTTAAACACTAATCCATGAGTTTATGAGCTAGAATTAATTAAAAATTGGTTCCTCAAAGATATTTAGGAGCCATGTCATGCTTTTCTTCAATACTGAGTCATCTTGAAGAAGCAACAACACAAATTCTTCAAACTCACTGCACAACATGAACTCAGAGAAACCCGCATCCCATCCTGTCTTAGAAAAAATACAGCAGAGACTAAGCTAAATCCATCATAATTTTGTCCTTAACCTTAAACGACATCTAGAGATTGTTAAGGGTCAAAACTGACAGTTTAGATAACTTACAAATGGGACCACTATAAAAGCAGAGTTAATGTAACCAATGGCCATGAGCCCTGAGTGGATGACCTGAATGTGCAACAGTTGTAAATTCAAAGATTTGGCTGCGTGCAGGATAGTTATTTTCTTCTCCTTAAAAATTCCCAAACAGCAAACTACCTTTCATGACAGTGTCTACAAATCTCTTAAAATCTCTGCTGCCTAAAATCTACTGCACTGCAGGTCTGAGAAACTAAGAAAGAAATATAAGAACTCCTTACATTCTCATCAGGTCTCCTGCTTAATGTTGTCTCAAACAGTATAGTAGCTTTTGTAACAAAAATTCTAAGCCATAAATTACCAGTAAGAAAATATGCAATGTCTTACCTTTTTTTCTAATTCATATAATATGGTACATAAAATTAACATTACAACTTTTTTTTTTTTTTGCTGATGCCATTTCAAGGAAACCTTGCATACTTTATTTGGCTTGTGTTTTCCTAAGCATAACTTTAACAATTCATTTCTAAAGTAATAATGTCTGGTCTTTGAGTAATCAACGAACAGCAGGACTGTTTAGGTTGGGAGGGATTTTCACAAGCTATCCAGTACAAGCTGAATTAGATGTGATAGCACAGGCCCTCGTCCAGTCAAGTTCTAACACCTCCACGGATGGATGCTCCACACACTCACTAGACTCCTCCTTCAGTGTTTGACTATTCTCCAGGTTAAAAACAAACAAATCAAAACCAGGACCAAAAAGACCTTCCTTGTAGCTCATGTCCATTGCCTCTTATCCCACTGTCATGCACCTTCAAGAGCAACCTGGTTCTACAGCTTCCACTTACAACACTAAGATCTCCCAATTCCTTCACTTTCTCTTAAGGCTGAACAAATCCACCTCTGTTTCTCCTGGAATATCATGTGCTTCAGCCCACTAAGCACCTTGCTAGACTCATAGGTGCTGAATAGAGGGGAAGTCACTCAGTGGACCTGCTGTTCCCCAGCTGCATTTACTAACACAGCCCCCAGTGCACCCCAGCTGTCCTTCACTGCAACAGCGCACTCAGACACATATTCAGCTTGGGATCCACCACAACACACGGGTCCTTTCCTGCAAGGTTGCAGGCTGCAGCCTGTTCTAGTTGTAGGGCTTTCTTCTTGCCTTTGCTGGAATTCTTGAGGTTTCTGTCTGGTCATTTCTCTGTCCTGTCAAGATCCCTCTGAGCAGCAGCCCTGTCCAGCCTACAAACCACTCTCTGCAGGCAAGTAAAAACACTGCTCTCAACTTCAGCTTTTTCAGGTGGTAATTTTGCCTCTGTCCTTGGATCTGAATTGCAGTCAGCAACCACACGAAGGTGCAGAAGTTCTGAGCCACCCTCAGAGGGTGCCATTCAGATCCCACACGACTGTGTGACAGATCACCTTCCCTTTCTGACCTCTTTGTACAGGACTGTCACTTGAACAGGGGCTTGGACAGTCCTTCCTACAGGCACTTACTGAGTTCCAGGCACAACAAAATCTCGAGTTCTCCAAGACAGGAACACATGGCTCTGATTCTTTAAAATAAATTCTAGTTTGAGCAAAAAAGCCCAAGAGGATACAATATCATTAAATCAGTAATTAAAAGAGCTAGATAAAACCATTTGTAACTAACTGTCCTTTATTCTATTCACTGTGGAAGATATTCTGATAAACAAAGACATTACAGAATTTTGTCTTTTCAAACGCTGATATTACAGGCCTGCTAGAGGTTATTTTCTAAGTAAAATATTTTCAGTTGAATATTCAAAATGTCATGCACTAAAATTCAGTTATATTTCAGTGACAGAAATAAAACTTATTTAGAAGTGATCAAGACCCAAATGCAGAATAATTTTCAGTCAACTCTGTCAATAAAAAAGAAAATATATCCAAAGTATACTGTAGCAGCATTATGAAAGTATTAGGTGGTTACAAAAATTATATTTATCTCCATTCTTAATGTTTATGTTTTCTGGAGACCAGCCCCAAACTAAAACTGTAACTGTGAAGTTAAATTAACATAAATTAACTTGACGTCTGCACTTAATATGAAAATCATCCATGAATCTTACTATCCAAGGCACGGGAACATTCCTTATCCACTTTGTTCACTTCACGTCCTGGAAATTATTGAAGTGCATCTTCCATAAAGGATTATTCCACATGCCCTTGTTACTAAGAAACAGAGCAAAAGAACCTGAGGAGTTGCAATGGTTTGATCTGTGCTTTACCAAGTAAATGGGTATGCAAAGCAAACAAAATTTTTCAGAAACAGATCACTTCCTTTTTCAGCTTTTGAAGATCCAACCAGTATATGTTATCTTAGTTCATTGTTTGAATCAAACAATTCTAAAAGGCAAAGGACTCTTAAGGCATCCAATTCCAATTGCTGAAACCGTGAATTTAATTCTGACACTAACACAGGAATCTCCACTTACAATGTGGTGATGCATAGAAAGCACAGTCATATAGCTGCAATCAGAGTTAAAATTTTTGCTATGTATGGTAACACACTCGTGATTTGTTATTATAAATTTCAGTAAATGCTAGTAATACACATCAAATCTAACACTCATGAAGTTCTGTTAAACTGCCCAGTGTTCTTCATTCATATACAGCAGAACAATGAACAATAAACCTCAGGAGTTGTGCTTGCCCAGGGAAACACAGCGTAACATGCTGATTTGATTTTAATTCACTCACGACAGTTTAGACAACCACTGCCACTAGAAAAAGCGCTTCCAGTCTTGTAGTTAAGGGTTGTAAGGTCAAAAAGCTTTTCTCTTTTCTCACTGTAAATAAACTTAATTAGAATACAGATGCTAGAACATAAGGACTTACAACAGCTTTCTCATTAAGGTGACCTGAAATACTTCTTAGAGTGGTACTGGCCCCAAAATTGCAGTGACAGCAGTGACTATTGCTCACTTGGCTGAGGCCTATGCTTAGTGAGGAATGTGCTCCTGTGGCAGGCTACAGCCAAACTGCATTTTGGGGCTAAATTACATCTTTCACCTTTTGTCTTAAAAGGAACCAAAGGAAAATAGCTTTGTTAGGCTGAAATAAGACACAGTCACCAGCCCCAGTGTGTTTGCAAAGTGACATGAAACTGCTTAGTGAAATAAAGAGCTACATGTGGAATTTCCCACAGAACACCCAGAATCAGCAGCTGTAGTATCAGGCTGTGGTTCTTAACAGATCTGCACACTTGGGGATCCCCTGGCAACACAAACTCGATCCAGGCAAGGCAAGGGTGCATGACTGCATTCTGAGAAATCAGAGCAGACAACAGGCATTTTGTGTTGGATTTACATGTCTAAGCCAGCTTCAGAACGGCAGAAAATACCTAATGACTAACATGTGAACACCTCTCTGCACACAGCCAAACCAGTGGAGCAAGTGTGTAGTGGGCTGTTACCTGCCATAAGATGCCACAGCGCAGCTCAACCTCCAACCAGAGCCCTAATACTGAATTTTCTGCATTCTTGAACTGCACCTTTAGTCTCACCTCAGAATCACAGAAACAATCAGGTTGGAAAAGACCTCTGAGACCACCTAGTCCAACCTATGACCGAACACCACCACGTCAACTAGACCATGACACTAAGTGCCATGTCCAGTCTTTCCTTTAACACCTCCAGGGATGGCCCACCTCCCTGGGCAGCCCGTTCCAATGTCTAATCACCAGCTCTGTGGAGAAATTCCCCCTGATGTCCAACTTGAACCTCCTCTGGTGCAGTTTAAGACCAATAGGTTCCAGAGGCCTATCCTGCCTGCATCACACCCCTGAAAGGCCAGGGATGCATGCAGAGAGCAGAAGCGTAAGAATAAAGAAAGGCTTTAAGCCTTGTATCAAGACTTCGATCAGACTTGGGCATTCCCCAAGTTGTTTTTTTTTTTTCCCGACTTAAGCTTTTAAAAGCTTGGGGAATGCCAGGGTAAACAATTCACCACACTGCACTTCCACTCCTAAAAAACTACCAAGTAAATAAATAAAAATAAAAGGCAATCCGAGCTGGTGTGACCCTTTCTGTCCTGGATCTCCCCATGACCTGACCTCGGGCCCAGCCGCTGCCGGGGGCACCCCCGGCTGGGCACCCCCAGTGAGGGGGAACCGGGGGGGGAGCCCGCCCTCCCCCGGGCAGGGCCGGGCAGCGGGACGAGCCCCCGCCGCTGCGCCAGCCCTCCTCAGCCCCAGCCCCGGTCCCAGCCCGGGCCCGGGCAAGGCCGGCGTGAGCGGCGGCCGCGGCCTCGCCGAGGGGCCGGGACTGGGAGCGGCGGGGGGGACCCGACGCTCCGCTCCGCGCTGCGGCTCCTACCGGCCACGTCCGCACAGCCCAGCCCAAGGGCCCGCCGGGTGCCAGCCAGGCCCGGCCCGGTCCTTCCCTTCCCCTCGCCTCCGCGGCGCGGGAAGCGAAAGCGAAAGCGGAGCCGCCCCGGCCCCGCTGCCCGCCGGTCCCCGCTCCCCCCGCGGTGCCTCACCATGGGCCGGCCGTGTGCCAGGCGGTGTCCGCGGCCCCGGGACACTGAGCGGGAGCCGGCGCGCAGGGCTCCCCCTCCGCCGCGGGGAGCGGCCCTGCCCCGCCCGCCACACACACCCCCGCCACCGCCCCCATGCGTGTTTCCCTTCGGGAACGGCAGGTCGCGGGCGGAAAGGGGCTGGGGAGGAGGAGGAGGAGGAGGAGGAAGAGGTAGAGGTAGAGAAGCTGCCCTGGCCAGGAAGGGAATACCGGGAGACTTGGGTGAGGGCTTATAGGCACAGAAAATTTTAATTTATTCTTCTAAAGGAGAGCCAAAGTTTCCCGCCGTAATTTTAAGAACTTTTTGTAGAGTCGTAAAATATTCTCAGGTGGAAGGGACCTACAAGGGTCATCAAGTCCAGCTCCTGGCCCTGCACAGGACATCCCCAAGAGTCACACCATGTGCCTGAGAGCGTTGTCCAAATGCGTTTTGAACTCTCTCAGGCTTGGTGCTGTGACCACTTCCCTGGGGAGCCTGTGCCCAACCACCCTCTGGGTGAAGAACCTTTTCCTAATATCCAACCTAAACCTCCCCTGATACAGCTTCAGGCCATTCCCTCGGCATGTTTTGAAAATAAATTTGAAAATAAATGTAGCCTGTTTGTGTCTGACACTGACCATTGGATCTTCCCCCAACACCGCAGCCCCTGGCTGGCAGAGCACCTGCTCCCAGCAGGAATGCCCGCAGCTCTGCGTCAGGTAGAGCAGAACCTCCAAGGGCAGCCTGCTATCACTTCTGATCATTTTATCACCTCTGAATAGAAGTGTAAAACTGTCTGGCTACCTGGCAATATCTGTAGAGCAACTATGTTATGTCACTATTACACCACTTTTTAACTAAACTCAGCAGCATTAATAGAACAAACTAAAGATCTCCAACGTACGTTGATTTTGATGTTCTGAACAAGACTTGTGTAATCTGTTCATCTGTCATTCCATGCCCTTTCGGCCAGTTCCAATCTAATTTGAAGAAAGTCATTACAGTCCTTTAAGTTTTGTGGAAATTGATATGTCGCTGAGGAAAAAAACCTAAATTTATTTCCTCAGCCAAAGAATAACAAGCAAAAGGCTCAGCTCTTACACATGCTTGTTAGCAGCAGACAGTTAGACAGTCAGTGTGTATATATTAGCCATCCACTTTACTTGCTAGATGGAGTTTTCATAGGGCTAATGGAGAATAAATTTTAATTATTCTAATTAAGGTTATTAAGGGGCTAAAGGATCCAAATCCACAGTATCTCATGCCTTCATTAGTTCGGTTATTCACAGTACAACTTCTGGAATGTCAATGGAATGCCAGAGTGCTATAAAAATGTGTTACACTGAACATATATTTAAAAAGACTGAAGAGGATGACATAGGCTAGCCTAGCATTGACAGTTTGACATAGATATGGAACAGAAACATGGAAGTGCTTACCTGGGATACAGTCAATTAAGTGCCAATAACTAAATGCCAGTTCACACATTTTTATGAAAAAGATTTGATTAAATGCATTTGAATTTAAGTTTGGCTGATAAAGGCGGTAATGTTGATGTAATAGCTTCCATATGAGGTAGAGCAGTAGACTATTCTCACACATACAATGTGGAATGCAAATTCTGTGGAGTTCATAATAAGTGATTAGGTGACAGTTCTCAGGAGGAGTAATTGTAAGTGAAGATTTGTCATAAGGTTGTTTTGGTGTTATTCTTGGCGTGGTGCTGTGAGAAATCACCTAGACAAAAATACCAAATGACTACTTTGATGTTGTCAATAAAGGTGAGGGCCATTCACTTAGATAAACTCCTTTGAATTACTTTGTAAACTCTTCTCACTTGCAAAAATACTCCTCTGAAGCTAGTCAAATTGGACGTTGTACATTCAAATAAAGCCTCAAAGGTACACCTGGAATCTGAGGGAAAATGACTGGCATGAGACAGTGCTAAAGAGGACCTGGATATGAGCAGTTGAACATCAGCTCTCAGAGCAAAGCTTTTGGTAACTAATACTCTGAAGCAAAACCAGAGGAACATCAAATACAACTGGGATGGATATCCCCTCTTTTTATAGACCTTATGAAACCATTATCAAAATAATGCATTTGGTTTGAGCATTAACAGTTCAAAGGGATGTTTAAAATTGAAAAGAGTCCAGAAGAAAGTTATGAAAGGTGTGGGAAATTTGCATTAACATGAGATACTCTAAAATCTTAATCCAATGCAGGTAAAGAGATACTTTTGTCATAAGCATAGTAGTACTTGTCTGAGTTAGAGCTGTTTGAAGAGTAGAAGTGTTGGTTTTCAGAAAATTACAAAATTCTGAAAGCAAAACTAAAATAAAAATGAGACTAGAAATATGGCACATCTTCATTGATTATAGGATTATATTGCCTGTGAATTTGTTTTGAAAGAGTACAAAGTTTTCAGTAAAAAAATAGAGATTTTTTCAAAGATGCACTGTAAGTCAAGCATACAAGCAGAATACATTGGCAGAGATTCCATGCAGTCCAATATGGAATTTGTATGACCACAAGGTTATACTTATTCTTTCCTTTCCTTAAACTTGGTGACTCCAGAAGAAGACTGAGAAGTCTACTTATGTAGCAGCAAAAGAAAGAATAGGATCACAATGATATTTCCAAAAAGAAAGATTATTTTTTTTTTAATGAGTTCTAACAGGCAACATCTGAAGAGCTCCTGGCACATTTCCCTGCGAACATGACATTCATGCCTGACTGTCCAGTTCTGCCACCAGTGCTATTGTGATCGTCCAGACAACCCAGCAGTGACTTCAGAGAAGTCCGAATCTCCTCAAGGAAAAAATGACAATGCAAAATGCTATGTCACTCATGTAAAGATCATCAAAGGAACAAGAGTTCCACCTTCAGGTCTGGGAAAATACTACCTCTGATGGCAAAAGATATCTCAGAAAAAAAAAATAATGTGTAGATAGAGTTGGACTTCCTGAATTACAGACAGAATCAGGCTTGTACTCCAAATCTACAATCCACTCTGAGTGTTCTCTTACAGATCTGATGACCCTGTGCATTCCTATACAGTTATCATAGAAACTGTTCTGTATTACCAATAAATAGTATAGAAAAAAATCATGGAGAATCCTAGAAAGGCACAGAACTGTTATATATCTGACTAAGGAAGAGCTTGCAGAAGTTTCTTTTTTTATGAGATCATTCATAGTTTTCAGATACCTGGATTCAGAAACATGATCCAGATGTGCAATTAATTTAATGTGCTCAGCTCTATTCTCATCAGTCTTTCCTTACACGCAGACTCTCAGATAACTCATGCTGGGGATATTTCAGTGAGCGTTGCTCAACAGACACAGAACTTCCAAGATGCTTACATTATGTTCCCAGAGATCTGGGATCCAGATCTTTTTCCAGTAGAGCATTTCAGAATTCTGTTGCCTTTTTCAATGCATTATTATTACAGATACACTGATTCCACTGTCAAAAGGCTTGTGCTGGCAAGAATGAGTAATAAAGTTTCCTCTGTGTCATGGAAAATAGCCATTACTGTGTTGCAGTGAGCAGTGCTCTCTCTCACAATCTTTCAGGAGCACAAGGTTGTTTGAAATGAGATCCCCTTTTAACAAACGTCCCTGAAAAAAAAAATCAAACTCTTTCAGTAATTCCTGACTAAAAGGTGTTCTCTGGAATATGTGGCAGCATTTTCTGAAACTGTATTCTTGGTATAAGCAAAATACTGGGGGTTGGTTTTGGGGGAAACTGCTACTTTTGGCAAAAGTTGTGCTGTAGTTTTTGACAGTTTCTAGAATTCTGATCCAAAGCCCTTTTAGTGTAATTTGTGGCAAAACCAGCTCAGATTTGGATAAGGATCATTTGTATAGTATTACAGAAAGCAGAACTCTCAAGTGCAAATGAAACAGAAGAGTCTTATTATACATTAACATATTCACAGTAGCAGTAATACTGAATAGGGTGTAAAAGTAGAAGAGAAAGCAATTAGGGCAAAGCAGGTTCTATTTTAAGAGAAACACTTCCTCACTGGTTGCACTGGTTATTTGGGTCTTTTCCAGTAAATTTACAAGTCTCACTCTGTGACCTTGATGCAGGAATGGTTTAGAGTACCTGCTATCGGTCTACCCCTGCAGCAGTCACAGAGGAAAGGCTGTACAGAGAGGATGGTAGGTACAGAAACTGTCTACAGCACCTGGACCATGGTAGGATTTCTCTAATAACTCGAGCAGGGTGAAACAAGCATCACTAGCTGGTGGGAGCTCATGTTGCTAGCACTCAGGGAATGTGCGCCTGTGGCACTTTGCCAAGGGAGCCTTAGCCATCCATTGCTGGCATAACCAAAGGAGGTAAAACTTGAAAACAAGTGTTTCCTGGGTTGTGGTCCTACCTGGAAACTTACCCATAACTAGAATTTCATCAAGATCCATGGGGTTTTTTTCCCAATGTCCTTTTGTGCCCACTGGAGCTGAAGAGGATTTCTCCCGCTCAGAACTACTGATCAGTATGTGCTATAGCAGCAGTGTATCCAATATTCTCAGTTTGGTGTGTAAGGTCACCTGAGCAGTTTTACTTCAGAAGAAAGTTGAGCTGCCTCAGTTAAAAAACTTTTAGTGGTACTGCCTTTTGTGCACATTTGTCTTGCGTTTTAAGACTGACTTGCATCGGCATCACCTTAAGCTAAATCCCGGCAAGTTGCTCCAACTGAAAAAAAGAAGAGTTTCCATACAAGGCAGTTTTACCAACCAAAGGAAGTTGGTCCATTTTTTTTCTTTTTCTTTTTTTTTTATGTTAACAAGGCCTTAGAAATTCTGTATCAAATCTTAGTGCCATTCAAATCAATGATAAAATTTCCATTAAAATTAGCAGAGTGAGGATTTCCTTTTTTGTCCAGGTTCCAATGCTTCCCGAGACAAGAAAAGACAAACTGTATTCCAGGGGAAAAAAAATAGAGTATGGGAAATCAACTGACCAAACATTCATTCATCCAGTTCAGCCACCATGCTTACCAGTAAACATTCCTTTTGTAAAATCATTCAGCCTTGAAAGAAGGATTCAGAATGTCTTTTA